CAGTAAAACTAAAGGTATTTGGAAAGTAATAAATGAAAACAGACCAAGAAAAAAGAAGGCAATGGATAGTATTTGTATTAAGGATGACAGTGGTGGTGTAACCATTACTAATCCCAATGAAGTGTGCAACAGATTTAACAGTTTTTTTGCTGAAGTTGGTAGCTACAACAACAAAGGTGCGAGAATTCCTCCTAACTCCTGCAATTTAAACAATAGAAATATAATATCGTCATTTTTCTTGAAACCAGTGACTGAAGAAGAAATCAAAAGCATTATCAGTGAGCTAAAGAATAAAAGATCCTCAGGAGTTGATGAAATATCTCCGAAACTACTGAAAACCATTTCAGGTCTGATCTCATCACCACTCTGTCACATGATTAACTGCTCCTTCGTTGAGGGAAAATTCCCTTCCAATCTAAAACTGTCAATGGTAAGACCCGTTTTCAAGAAAGGGGACAAAACCAGCTGCAATAACTACAGGCCTATTAGTTTAATATCAACCTTTAGTAAAGTATTTGAGAAAGCAATGGTTAATAGATTATGGAGTTTCCTAGAGTCCCAAAACATCCTATATGAAAACCAGCACGGATTTGTAAAAAACAGATCGACAACCAGTGCCATGCTTGGTCTCATAAACAGAGTGGTGAGGGATATGGATTCACGTCAGAAAGTAGCAGGGATGTTCTTTGATTTTAGCAAAGCTTTTGACCTCGTGAACCATGATATACTGTTGAGAAAAATGAATGATCTGGGCATTAGAGGAGTAGCTCATGCTTGGTTCTCTTCGTACCTGAAAGACAGGCGACAGTTTGTTATGATACCAGCTGTAAATAAAAGTGGCTACTTGCAGAACCATTCATCTTCAGAAGTCCCAGTCAGGAGAGGTGTGCCCCAGGGTTCCGTCTTGGGTCCGATTCTCTTCCTTATCTTCATAAATGATGTTCCATCCAGCTTGAATCTTGCAAACATATGCCTTTTTGCCGATGACACTTCTATCACCATTTCAAATCCCAGTATTCAGGCCTTAGAACAGACCCTATTTCTTGAATCCAACTGCCTGCTTCAGTGGTGTGAGGATAATGAACTAATCTTAAATGCCAACAAAACCACACTCCTTCAATTTAGCATTGCTCAGCATCGCACATCCACTGACATACATGTTCTTCTTGATGATACCACTATTTCCCCCTCCCCAGATGTAAAGTTCCTTGGTTTAATTCTAGACGAGAACCTCAAATTTCACAAGCATATCGATCACGTTTCAAACAAGATATCTGTTGGGATTTTCATGCTCCGCACTCTTAAACATACTGTTTCGTGTGAGGTCCTCTTGACAGCCTACTATGGACTAGTTTACCCTTATCTGACATATGCTGTACCTGTCTGGGGGTGTGAAAGCCAAAAGACTCAGTTCATATTCAGGCTTCAAAAAAAGGCTCTCCGAACTGTTTTTTCCCTTCACCGTCGTCAATCCTGCAGAGATGTCTTCAGATCACATAAAGTTCTAACTTTCCCTTCCATTTACATTTTAGAAACATTATCATTTATCAAGAAAAACCAATCATCATATAGCTCTCCAAGTACCCATAGTTATCGTCTCCGCAACAATTTCAATCTTTCAGTACCACGACACTCAACCACTTTCTTTCAGAAAAATTTCCACTTCAATGCAGTAAAACTTTTTAATGACCTCCCTCTCCCTTTGAAAGCCGAACAGGACATCGGAAAATTCAGGAAATTAGTTAAGTCCATGTTGATAAATAAGGTCTGCTACAGCGTCCGGGAATTTCCTGGTAGGCTTTAACCTTATTAAACATAAAAGAAAACAGTTTGTATATAATGTATTTAGTAGTTAATTAATTTCATAAAAATGTAATCTCTTGACTTGGCCAATGCAATGTATTGTCAATCTGGTTGAATAAAGGACTTTGACTTTGATATCTTACTTATAGGATCGGTAGCAGTGGCAGCTCCAGAAGGCAGACCATAGAGGTAGGCCCAGGCCTACCCAAAATTTTAGTAGATATTTCAAAATTATGAATAAATAAAGTAATTGAATTATATGTAAATAAATTGAAAGCATTCAAACTCAGTTTGCATTTAAATTGTAAAATTCCCCCTTTTTGTGGAGATCTGCCTGGAGATCTGGAGATCGAAGCCCCCTCAAACCTCTCGTTCCCCTATCAAACTCCTTTTTTTTGCTCGTATCTACTCTACGCCAGTGGCATTTTTGTAATTAAGTCAAACACTTTTAAGGGAAAGCGGTCAAAACCCATTAAAGCTTTGTGGATGTGCCGGGGATTGAACCCGTCCCTCCCGCACCGAAGTCTGAGACGCTAACCACTAGGCTAGCAACACAACCTAGCTTCTTGATGCTTATTAGGCCTAACCAAAAAATTATTCCTGGAGCCACGTACCCCTGCAATGATGCACAAAATTTAGTTTCATGTCAATTTGTGCTTTAATACAAAGCTTCTGTTGTTACCATATATACCATAGGTTAGGCCTACCATGACCATTCTATTCTTTCTTTCCAGCCAACGGTGCTATTGCCATAGCGTTGATTCAAAAAAATTTGTCAAAACATAGTTCACTTCACTCCCCCTGTATTTAAACCCTTAATTATTGATATCCGTGGCACATGTACAATATGTACATAATTTGTGATATGGAACATACAGGAACCAGGTGCAGATGAAATGCAAATAAAAAAGTGAGTAAGGAAGCCGATGTACAACCCACGTGGGAGTTAGCTATATTACACAATTCAACAAATCTTGCTGACTTGTTATACACCTTTAAGAGTCCATTACAAATATGCTCCATTTCCTTATCCACTGTCCTTGCTATGGGGGAAAATAGTGGTTTGTTCCAGTTGTAAATTTTTCCAATGCAGGAAACCCCATGTACATTCACCATTGCCACGGAAAAATATGTCTCGTGGCTCGCTTCCAATGTATCTATTAGTTCTATGGAAAAAGCAGAGTGATGGGTATGCCCCAATGCATTCCTGCCGTACTACACCACTGGTTTGTTGGTACAGAAACTCAGAAAAACTTTTGTTCACTCTATGCTTAAGTAAAACTCCAAAATCCCTCTATAGAACCTTTTTATCTACACAATGAGAGCTTGGCGTACATGCACAAATTATCTCTTGATAACTTCATTCCTTTTATTAGTGTTCAACATTCAAGAATCCATGTTGTTTTAAAAGAAATCTTGAGCTACTGTGTCAAGGGTAAGAAAAAGTTTGCATCCAATAATTTTGATGAAGGAGCAAACAAGTTAAATTTGATCTGAAAACACTTGTTTGACAATGTGTAGGCATATTAAATTTAAATTGCACATGATTACAATTTGCTTCCTGTTTAGAAGTTGTACCTAGTTGAACTAAAACTTGTAGTTGCGAGTTGAGATGACATCAGATTACCTAACATAGTCTAGCATGGAGCTGGTTTTATCTTAATAAAGAATAATGTTTCTAAAGTTTTACCTCATGATATCAATGTAGGTAGTTACACAGAGAAGATAATATACAATTAAACATTTAAAAAATGTATTTAAACTGAATCACTATCAAGGGTGCCAATCAAAAACGATGTTTTATATTCAAACTATATTTTTATTGGCCCTATTACACTTGGTCACCAGGCAACGTCACCGGAAGCGTCGCCGGTTACTGTACAGGCAGCCAGCCTCAAACAACAGAAGTCACCAGGAGGTGCGCTCAACGAATCTAGTCACTAACAAGACTACAAGATCACGACACTCATCCTACACTAATCCTTCACTCATATTTGGGTTTAAATACGCACAAAGTGGCGTCCCCATCTGAAATAATTGAATTGATACTTGGCTTAAAATACCTACTTTGTATGGTCGCCTGGTCGCCATTTAATAAGAAAGTTTAAAAAGTTTTAAAGTTTATCGGGAAGTGCGTAACACATTCCATGTATCATTAAAAAAATTAAGACCAACCCCCAAAGTTCCTCCACTCAAGAGTCTACAAACATTCAGCGCTGTCAACTCGTTGAAGGACAAAGGTCTCTGTTATCCGCGTCTTACCTCTTCAGTTTAAAAAATGTCCAGTGAACAAATATTAGTGAATAAACGGGAAAGAGAAGCAGGGAAAGGAAAAAGGGAAGACGACTCAGTGAAAGGAAGCCAGTCTAGTGTAAAATGTAGTGGTGAAAAAGATACCAAGAAAAGGGAAAAACCAAGTCTCCTCCTTTTCCTCATCAAAAAAGCAAGAAGTAGCATTTCTTCATATTTTTCCGACATTACGTCCACTCACTCACTAATATTCCACTCACAGAAAACAAAAATACAGTGGTGACACAACCGCGGTGACTGTGTGTAATATGTGCCATTTGATTCAATGCCCAGCGACAAATCTTGGTCACCAGTGGTTACTCGTCTGGTCACGGGGCAGAGTCACCGGTCAGTCACTAAAGGCTGGTGACGGAACCGGTGACCCTATAGTGTAATAGGCGCTGCAAGAACCGGTGCCCACCAACATGTCAGGTCACCGGTGACGCCACTCGTGACCAAGTGTAATAGGGCCCTTCCCTTAGCCTTTGTATTTGACAAAACCGGGGGTTTTGGAAAGCCTACCTAGATTATGATCAGAAAGTAAGTAGTAGTAACACATTCAAACATGTGATACTACTTAATCCTATGTGGGATTAATTTAGTTTTTTTTTTGGCTATACATCTTAAAACTGATTTCTATTGAAGGCCATACATTATATTTTGTAAACATTGTCTATTTTCTACAAAATAAAGAATATTTAGATTTTTAGTTATTTTAATTTTGATGCAAAAGACGAGTATTTAGTCTCAACTTGAAACTACCAATGCTTTCTCAACTTCAGAGTAAAACAAAAGCAACTCTTATCAGTGTTCAAATATCAATATGTCTTATTTGCAATTACCTCAAAACTAAAGGCATACAAAATTAACATAACAAAGCATGTTACACAGAAACTTTATAATTGTTCAACACATCAATTAATGGCACAATATAAATTTATGCATAAAGATAAATTACTAATAACGTTAAAATAAATCTATAAATCACACATTCACATTAAAATTTGGAATAAATTCTTCAAGACTAAAAATAAATTCCAAGTATTTAATAAACAATTCATAATCAGAAATTTATTTAAAACTACAAGATTGATTGAACATAATTTCTTTGGTATGATCACATAATTAAAAACCTTTAAATTATTTACTGTTAACATTATATTTTTTTGACACAATCATACAAAAATATTGTACGACATTGTTTTAAATCACAGAAATATATTTTATACATTACTTACAGACAAAAGTCTTCTCGTAAATTTATCCTAGACACAAAATATTATCAGCTCATTAAAAGGTCAAACATTTGGGGTGGAGTTCCCGAAAAGGAATTCTCAGATGATATATTTTTTTAATTTTTAATTTGTGTATTTATTTACTTAAAGGTAATAAATCACTATGTGAGGTAGGGTTAAAGGGAAGCTATTTTGGATCTAATCCTACTTGGTTAAAAAAAAATGTAGGCGGTTTGAGGGGAAGGGATTCCACCCCCTTTACCTCACATAACTTTGAAACAGTTTGTGAATGGTATAAAATAACTAAACCATAGGTAAAAAATGAAAAACATGAACTCACTAGAAAAGCCCATTACAAAACTGTAACTAAAACTACAAGATCAGCAAATCATCAATAGTTAACATTATTTTGGAAGCTTATGGCAAAGGAGTGGAAGGTTTTAAGAAAATCTTTGCACTAGAATACTATGCTTCAATTTGCGAACAAGGCATGAGAGTTAACCTACATATCAGTTAACTAATCACCAGATAATTCTAACTCATCAATGTGACAACATTTAATGATTCAACCCATTGACAAATCAATTTTTTATGATTTCTTTATCTCATCATTCCACATGTCTTGCCTTAGTCAACTCAGCCACTATGCCACTGTCGGCCGGAACGAGTGGACTAAAGTATGAATGCAACACTAGCACTTGCAGGTGAGATTCAACGAACTACAGGATTAGTGCGGCTAATGAACTACAAAATTCCGTGATGAGCTAGACTCGCAACAAGGTTTTAAAGGGGTAAGATTTTTTTTTTTTCACTAACATAATCCAAAATTTCAATGAGTCATTTAACTCATAAAACTTTCAAGTTTCAATTCATCACTAGAAGTTCATACCAACTAGAACGTTACTATAATTTACGTGCGTTTTGATTATTTTCTCTAAATACAGTATTATCAACAGAGATATTGATAATAAATAGTTGGAGCACAAATTCGAACCCAGAAAAAAGGGCACATCTTCAGACTTATAAATATTACACTTCGGTACAATACATTGTACAGTTTTATAACACAAAGATATGAAGAGAAACAATTATTAGATGAATATAGTTAACTGTGAATAATAAATCAGTTGCATTATTAATTTTACACATTTCTGCATATAACAAAGTAACAATAAACAACATGTAGGTATTTATATGGTAATTAGAAACTGAATATTCTTGTTTCAGTTTTAATGGTGATATTGGAATGTTAAAAAGTTAATAAAACACCTTCAGGATATTTCCTAAGAGAAAGAGTTAATAACACTGTACTGTATACACATATAAAAAAAAAAAAACTCAGCTTAAAAGTTGGATGATTTATGAAAATATTAAAACATATTTACACATTATAGTTTATGTACATTAGAGAGTCTCAACAGGAAGTAATTATAATACTTCGCTGCAGAAAGGTAATTAAGTATTTAGGATAAATACACAGACATATATATATATATATAAACTTCTTTAAAGAGATTTAAATTTACATATTATTTCTTTGATCAACCATTTTCACCAGATTAAGCAAGAACAACTTCGTTCGAGATACAAAATCTAAAACCTTCATTACCTTTTTTTACTTAGAGATAAAATGAATTTAGAATGAGTGTTACTACTACAAAACCTTAAGACTTTTCTCATATTGGAGAACAATAGTAAAACATTGCCTATACAATGTACATACAATTTTTTGCATTACATTAAACGTTCACCACTACAGAGCAAGAAAAAATTTTTAATAAAGATTAAAAATTGTAACAGGAGGATAAAACATTTAAAAAAAGGGCTACACTTTATGACTACTAATTCACTACTATCTAAGCAATGAAGACATCAGCGACACAAGAGTTTTGTGATTGGTAAATATTTGGAAGATACAAATCTTTAGAGATATTTGTCTTTAACAATCAAATACGAATTTAAAACTAAAAGTGAAGTTAGCCAGCGATGTACATGGATTGCAACACTACAAGCCTAATTTTTGACACTAGAAAACCAGTAAACTTGGTTTTTCTGCCACTGCACTGAAACGGTAAATTTCCAGCCTAGTATTTGAGAATTAATAGTTAATTTTCTACGTTATTTATTTGTTTATGTTTTATCATTCGTGCTGACTAAGAATAAAAGTCTACAATATTTGAAAATAAAATTAAAGCACCTAAATTTGGATAAAAAAAACACTAATGTTAGGTCAGAACAGGATTATCCTCAAAAGACCCTATCATGATTTGCCTAACATTTCCAATCTAATTGGTTGAGATTTTATTAACTTATCATTTATTACCTATAGATATTTCATTCTGAGACTAAGGAGCAAACTATTTCAATGACTTTGAATCATAGGCGTTCAGCAACAAAACTGTATTAATTTACAACGTAAAGGCAAGAAAGCAAGCTGGACGGACGAGTCACCTTTCTGATGGCTTCCACAGCTGCACCTGTAAAGTGACAAAAGCAAATTACAAGGGGACACATGGAGTATAACAGGCAATACATATGATATCTCTACAGAGGACCAAACAGCAGCAGACATAAGAAACAGAAGGCTAAGATTGAATGAGCACGTAATAAGACAAGAAGTATCAATCAATCTTTATTCACATATACATTGAGTACAGTGTTGCATCAAGATGATACCCCTCACGCCAAATGTCCGAGAAGAATCTGATAGGAAGGTAACCAGAAAACAGGAGGGGTGAAGAAAATTAAACCAATAGCAGAAGAGGGTACCCAAAACGACAGTTGAGTTGGTAAGAGTCCTCGGAGCCTTGCTGTGCTAAATAATTACAAAACAACAAAGAACATTTCTAATCCGATAGTGACATACTTCAATTACAATCATCATGACTACATAAATCATCCACATGTATAATTTTAGTGAAGACGTTATTTTAAAATAAAAAACTTAATTCACATGGAAAAAAATTTATTTAGAAAATCAGAAGAGTGATAGAAAAAAACCAAAAAGTTATTTTTTATTTCAATAGATTATAGTAGTTAATAAGCACAAAGCTAGAGAGAAGCACTCAATACAAATCAGGTTAAAACCCATAGAAGTTATTCCATAAAGCTGCAGCCTGTTAAATTTCATGTTTTGTTATTGACAAAAATACTCAGTATAAAAATAAAAAATCGTCAATGGCAAAGGACTGAAAGAGGGGATTATGTTATCACATCACAAAGAATGAGAACTTTTGTTTGCAGTATTTGTCTTTATGTTTTGCATGTCTGTATTAAGCCACATACAAACTTGTCCTTGATATTACAAAAGTATTACAGGAATAAGGGGATTTAAACACTCTCTGGTCTCAATCAGATCACAGTTGTGGTATTCAGCAGAGCTTTAGATGAAAAAGAATATCACAGAATATATAAATCCACAAACATTTTACTTTCATAAGGATTTCAGATTATCTGTTCAAAGACAATAGTTGTTAACCATAACCAGGAAAACAGGACGAGCAGTAGACACATTTTGTATGCAAATATTATCTAGTTGAATGGGCCACTGAGTATAAAGCTGTCAGAATTGATTTCTTAAAAATTTAATGATACTTTGATCAATAATGTGGTCTGCTAAGGTTAAAATAGTCTTTTATGTTTGGATTGATTATTAAATGGGTTTATACAACAACAATCAGTAATATTAGTACACTGTTCACTTTCTTCTTGAATAGGTTTCCCTGGTCACTTACTGCAGAATTGTGGTCTTCTAGTGACGACCATGTTAAAATCAACGTATGGCTATCACTCACCGTTGTTTTAGCCTCGATGTAGAGAGTGCTATCCTCAGGGTGACTTGACTACACAGTGATGACAAATCAAGTGGTTGACATTCTACATCGAGGCCAAAACTTCGGTAAGTTATTGTGATTTGTTGATTTTGACATGGTCCTTACCAGAAGACCACGATTCTGCATTCAATTTCATTGTAAAACTGGATATCATTTTAACATGAGAATGGAATGTCTAGTTCTCTCTACAGGGGTCAAAAGCTTTGGCACAGATTCTGAGTGCCATCTTCGGAGCAGTAACAGAACACTTGGGGATTGGCGTTTGCTACAAAAGCGCAGATAAAATCAGCATGAAAGCCGAGTCGCAGAAGAGTTCACGATAAGATTGAAAGTACAAGGACGTTATTTCACCTGAAGTATACAATGTTATAGTGTGACTTTACTACTAGCGTTGGAAAACATTGCACATAATTTCCTCACCTCCTATTGAGCTTTCTTGGCAGCATTCTTCTTCGCCTTCTTGCCCTTCACAGAGTCTTGTTGTCCGCTGTAGCCGTAGTAGATGAACTGACCGACGAGCACTGCGTTGCCAAGAGTTGCTAGCGCATAGGTCACGATGATCACTGGGTCTCCTGTCTCTTGGATGGAGGTGAAGATACGAGCGGTCGAACCAAACAGCAACATAACACAGGTCATGGCTGACAACTGTCCTGTGCTACCGTTACTGTAGTTAGTCCACGCTTGAACCATCTGCAATCGTAAAGTCAAAAGTGATTCTCTGGATACTGTATAGGTAAATATTTAGGCTACTGGTAGGAAAAGGAAACCATTTCTGCCCTCAAGATTTATATACAATTTTACTACTGACACACCACTACCAAGTAGTGTTAGAATATACATGGCCTATAGAGAGCAGCAGTCTGATGGCTGGGAGGGAATGTGTTTAAAAATAATTTTGCTGGAACCACCGAGTTTGCAGACAAAAATAAAATATTATTTGGTTTATGTTTATAACCTTCTAGAAAGTTTTAATATTAGGATACTGTCTATTAGTCTTTGATAAGCCTACCTGTCTCAAATCTAGGTACCTATCACATGATAATAGATTTACTCCATGAATCAAGAGGAATCCATCTCAATTAGACCTAATAAATACTAACTTAAGTTAGGCTAGGTGAAAAAATCATCAGTCTTAAAACGAGTTTAAAAAATCAGTATTACCCTTTGTAAAAATAAATATGGCCACCATCATATGTTGTAGGATGAAATATAAAAAATGTTTTGCGTGTACAATGTGGCCTACTCGATGGCTTACAGTAGGCAGATGAGTGTGCAGTAATTAATTTAAATATTTGTGTTTTGATCCTCTTAGCAGTCAAATAAAGACCATAGTATCCCGAATGACCAACCTTTCCAGCGAACATGATAGGAACGCTAACAGCTTGCAGTGACCACAATATGTCCAAGGGCGTGAGTCCACCCAACAACGCGTACAATATGATGGAGAACACACCAACAAACACAGCCGCTAGGTTACTCGAGTAGTTGAAGTGAAGTACCATTGCGGCAATGAGTGTTGTCTGTATGAGTAAGAATAGGGCATCACCCCATGCACTGCAAAGTTATAAAAAAATCATTAAAGTTTTCCATAAATAGAATAATATAACTAACTTAATAATATATAATATTATTTTAGTTGGTTCTGGCTTAAGAACCATAGTAAAACTTTACACTAGGCCTACACAAAATAATCGAATAATTCACTGTCACTGACAGCTTTTTTACCCAAGGAGGGTTTGAGTACCTAGGAGGGAGTTATGTCTTCAGTTATGAAGACATAAGTTAAATGCTGTGTATTTAGGATAGGGCACTAAGTTTTATTTGGATTCAAGTAAATATGACCCTTCTAACTGGGAATAAAATCTGAGTAAGAAATACACATATTAACTTAGCTTTTCAATATTAAAGCAATTCTTGGAATATATTTAAACCTTAAAAAGTTCTTAATTATTCAATACTATCAGATAATACAGCTCAAATCATGTAAGCTGGCACTTGACAGCATTTGCCGTCATTGATCTACGAATCCTTAAAAATTGAAATGAATTTTCAACAAAAACAAAATGTCATCAAAATCTTACCTAAAAGTAAAGCCTTTAGCATAACTATAGGCAACTCCAGTAGTGACTGCATACAAGTCTAGTATCACACTTAGGAAACTTAGGCCAGCTGCACTCTTGTTTTGCAAAATTTTGATTATCTGGGGCAATTTCACTAAAACACAAAAACAGCCAAATTAGTCTTAAAACTTTTTTCGTAAGCATGTTTGAAATTGTCTTGTTTAATCAACTATTATAAAAGACTAGTGCACCTGTAGCTCGAATTCGAGCAATTGCTAAGTATTCCAGGTGTTATTTCAAAACGAATTAACAGTCATAATTTCCGATGACTTAAAAGAGTCAACTCAAAGATAATGTAATCAATCTAAAGGAAAACAAAGGAAAACATAAATATCAATATATCGAAGAAAAAAATCAGATTGATAATAATAATGCATGTTTCCTTTAACAGGAAAGTAACAATCAATCTTTACATTGGTTCCAAACCCATCAGATATGAGGGTTTTAAATGGGTAAATCTTGCCTGTATAGGTCTAGCTTTGTTGATTGTATACATCATACTAATCTTACTAATATCATAAATGTGAAAGTTTGTGTGTTTGTTTGTTTGTATGTTTGTTTCTTTGAAGTTCAATCACGCATTCACTACAGGACGGCAGGGCCGATTTACCAAATAGGCACGGTAGGCATGTGCCTAGGGTGCAAGGCAATTTGGCTTTTTGGGGTGCACCAAAAAATTGGTAAATAAATAAAATGGTATTTGTATTTGCATGCGATCGCGGTTAACTTCTGGTAATCCCTCGCGGTCGTGTGGACATCGTAATCGTCTCCCGGGATTGCGGAAAATGAATCATATTCCTCAGTCGTATGAAAATCATCATCGTCTTCCGCAATCGCGGCAAAATTCTGACTGTTTCCCGCGGTTGTGTAGACATTATCATCGTCTTCTGCGATCGGGGCAAAATTCTGATCATACCTCGGGGCTGTGAAGACATTATTGCAACATCTCCCGCGGTCATGTAGACATAATAATTGTCTACCGCGATTACGTTAAAATGGTAATCATCTCCCACGGTCGTGTGGAGATCATCATTGTCTTTTGTGAATGAGGCAAAATTCTGATCATCCCTCGCGGTCGTGAAGATATCACCAAACTGTATCTATATCCTTTCCCGCCGTTGTGTTGACATAATAATCGTCTGTCGGATTGCAGCAAAATGGTAATCACAGATACGTCACTGTTGTCATGCGGGATCACGGTAATTAGAAAATTCCAGGAAGAAATACAAAATTCACGCATGATTCCTAAAAAAAGCAGCATAATTCCCTGTTTTCCCAGCCGGTGGACACCTTGAATTAAAGGGGCGCTGCTATTAGTTTTGCCTAGGGTGATGACAGGTAAAAAAAACGGGCCTGCTGGATGGATTGGGCTAAACTTTGGCATGATGATAGCTCACATTTCCGATTAACATATAGGCATATTCTTATCTCAAAAATCCTTTCGGGCTCCGCCCCAGTGGCAAATTTTTAATAATTTCCGGTTTGTTTCTTTATTGTTTAGGTGAAGTGGTAGAACATTTGGTAGATGTGTAATACTATAGTATACTGTAAAGTTAAACAAACAAATTTTATCAAACTGTGTCCTCCCCCATTGCAAATGCAAAGCTTGAGTATAACTGCAATAAGCATTTTATACTTATATGCCAACCCCATACGTAGAACGGGTACTCTGCTAGTAATTATAAATGTGAAAGTTTGTGTGTTTGTTTGTTTGAAGTTCAACCACGCATTGGGATTGTCAATCAACTACTGGTCGGATTGGGTTGAAATTTAGTATGATGATAGCTCACATTCTCGATTAGACATATTCTAATCTCAAAAATCCTTTCGTGGTCCGCCCCAGTGGCTCTAGAGTTTCCCATGTTAACCTTATGAGTATATTCATATTTTAAAGGAATTAGGGTCAAGTGGGCATGTGGAACTAGGTTTTAGCATAGCAACTTTGAACTTACGTTGCTCAGGTAATATTATACTTGTAATTGTGAAATGTTTTGTACCATAACTACAACTAATTAGCTTTTTTAAGACAATAGCCTAACTAAAAAAAAATGTTTTTTGCTTATAACAAAAATTGTGTTTTGTGGTTCTAGTTTGCCCCACCATGGGGGCAAGTGGAACCAACTACATCTGAATTAAAATATATTGCATTAAATAATTGCCATTACAATAAATAGCAGATATATATGCGTTATTGTAAAATCCGATAAATTATTGGATCTTAGCATTTTTCGGCAAATTAAGTCATCCAATATATCGGATCTTAGCAATTTTCATTAAAAAGCAGTGATTCGATATATTGGATCATAGCACCGAAAGGGTTAAGTTAAGGATGAAAAAGTAACAAATTGCCAAAACTTAGGCCTAAATCAAACTTACCCATTAACGAACCAGCAACTATTGCAAGACCAAGGCCTTTGCTCACCGCAGCCTTTAAACATGGGACTAAAACAAAAAAAAATAATTAGGCCTACTTAATCCACTAAAATCTAAAGGTAGCCTACTAATTATGATTTACTAATTCTAAACAGCCTACTCTACTTACCTAAGCCTATGATAAGGTGAATGCATTTGCCATAGGTCTAATTTAAATATTCACTTATTTTTTTGTCCTAGTTTATATGGAGCTGCCTACAGCTAAACAAAATTTACTTTATCCCTCCGCCCTCCGGGAGGTGAATAAGAAATTTAAATCCAGTTTTAACGGTTGTGCAAACTTATTTTAGACATTAAAGTTTTAAAAAACCTCTGATTAAAAGTAATTCAGTTAAGAAGTAGGGTAAATTACTTTTTAAATTTCCTGTGCTCTCCTTGAACCAATTGGCTGATACCAACCGCAATCACCCATATTTGATATAAGTTAGGCCTACTTACTCACTTAAGTTTAGGTCTACTTGTATGGTTATGATACTGATTCACATAAGTTATTAAACCATAAGTTAGGTAGGTTTCTTGCAGTTTCCAAATTTATAAGCTACACCATGTACTTAGCAACCTTGGCTAGGCGCTACTTATTTTAGAAAGCCCTGGATGTTTGAGCCTGGCTATTTGATCAAAATATCTTATTAGGCCTAACTTATTTTGCATAACAAACACAAAGGTTGCCATTTAAGCTCTACCTTACTTAGGCCTACTCTTAGCTAGAATTGTCTATTTAGACCACAGAAAACATACTACTATAACCCAGAATGCCAGCCGCATGGTAAAAACCTTTAAGTATTTTGAGAGAGCTTTGCCTGTCAATTCGTAGGCAGCGCCACCAGCGTTGCTATGTACTGCCTACGATTGACAGGCAAAGCTCTCTCAAAGTAGCCTTATTAACGTTTTTTACCATGCGGTTGGCATCCTGGGTTAGGCCTATAGTAAGTTTTCTGTGATTTAGACTAGGTATCTATCTGGCCTAGCTATACCTAAACAGTGGCAGATACAGAGGGGGGGCGAAGGGGGCGACCGCCCCCCCCATCGGGCATACATATATATATATTTTTTACTGCATGTATTACAGTACCGTAGTGCATATATATTGCGTAAAATAATTTGTCACACTAACTTTGTATAAAACTGCCATTTTGGAGACTTCCATAAATTTTTGGGGGGGTACCCCCGAATTCCCCAGACCCCGCGGTTCGCCCCCCCCCCCCTTGTGACTGTTCTAGATCTGCCACTGTTCCTAAATAACAATTAACTAATTTAAGGTATTTTAATAATGTCTTTTGGTAAATCTGAACTTTCTTGACTTCTCTTTAAAACGTTTTAAAATTATTCCTACTATCTTAATAGACAAGAAAATACCTGTAAAACATTTTTTAAGGTGCGGAAACCACTGCAAATTACGAAAATATATGGATCTATTTTTTCAAGTCGCGGAGCACATCGCCTGTCGAGGAACGAGGAGCGGAGTGATACTGACTGTCTGGTGACTACTTTCTTTTGGGCTCCTAGAATGGTTTGTGTTACCAGCTGACCATTGATTTAATATTGATTGTTAATTTTAGGGTAATTTTTAATCACATTAATATAAAATGATATTTTACTATTCTAAACTAACCTAACCAAACGTGCTGTAAGTTATGGTTACATATATTGGTTTTACAGCAGAGAAGGCATGTGGGGAAGGCAGGTCGTGGTTTATGAAAATTCTTGACTCCATTAAAAGTGGTCCTTTGAAGTAAGGTTAGATTAGGTAAGTTAAAGTGTAGGTTATAGGTAATTGGGTCGTCTTTTGAAATCGTTTCCTCGTTTAACCAACTATTCCAAAAGTTAAAGGGGGAGCGAGCTGGCGTAGTGGCTAGAGCGCGGGACTTCGGTCCGTGAGGTCCCGGGTTCGATCCCCGCCAAGTCACCAATGGATTTTATCTAAGTGATAATGCCGCAACCCCTAGGTCTAGCCTGAAGTAATGTGAAAAACAATCCCAGGCTCGTGCCTAGCGTCCTAGGACAAAAAAAAAAAAAAAAAAAAAAAAAAAAAATTCCAAAAGTTAAAAAACAATAGGCCTAAGTTTTATGGTGCAACACAAATAAACGACCCGATTAGGCCTACTTACCTATAACCTACACTTTAGCCTACCTTCTTAATCTAACCTTACCGTACTTCAAAACACTTATGTAATGGCCACAAATTCTCATAAACCCAGCCTGCCTTCCCCACACGCCTAAATTAAGTTAGATCAGTGTTCAATCTGCGTTTATTAATAAGTGTAATAACTTACTGTACCATCGATGAAATTCAACATACTGTATAACCTATGAGTTATTATCGCATTAAATATCAATTTTGATGCGGTTCAATATATCCCTTAGGCCTATTAAATCCTTATTTCTAATCAGCTGGCAACACAAATTGGTGCCCAAGAGTAAGTAGTCACCGGTCCGTATCGCTCCGCTCCTTGTTTCTTGATATGCTCCGCGCATTGAGAAAGTTGCCTAGGATAGTTCATATATTTTCGCAATTTGCAGTGAATTCCGCGCCTTAAAAAATGTTTTAACCCTAGCAGTGGCCAACCGTCGCCTGGTGACGGTATGACGTTGATGCTTAGAATGGCCAATGTCGTCTGGTGACGGTATAGGCCGAAATTTTTTTAACGGTAAAAAAAACACTTACAATCAACTCAGATGAGAATAATATATATACCATTCGAAAGATCACATTCTGAACTTTCATTTGATTACATAAACAAACCCTGTAGCAGGTATATAACAATGTCACGACAATTAGAAATCAAATGAAATTTTGGCGCGGTACGACTTTTGCAGCCGACACTTGGGAACTGGCAAAACACGTCTTGTTTGGCATTACCCTGCTCGGGTAATTTTCGACTTGGGATATTGCGGGTGGTACCACTGGATAGCCATTGATTTTATCTTCATTGTGGTAGTGATATTTATAACTAAATATTGATTGCACAATCGGTACGATTTTATGAAAACAGCTGTTTTCGAAATTTCTAACAAATGGCCAACAGTCGTCTGGTGACAGTATGGAAAATACGAATTATATACAGTGAAAGTTATTATTACTAGTCATATAGTATATCATTTTGAAGAGGAAGAAATTTAGATTCAGAGAGTGGCAGCCCTGCACTTATTTCTGTATGCTCGCATGTAGACGACAAGTGAGTCATTACTGCTACTGTCTGTCAGCTGTCTTGTATTGCCATTGTTTGTTTGTGTTGTTGCCGTAATAGTTTTATCCGTGATTTATTACTAAATATGTTATTAAGTTTTGTAGTGTTAGTGTTAGTGAAGTGTTGTGTGTGTGTATAACAGTAATCTTCATGCATAAATATTACTGAATTGTGTGAAATAGTGTTCATAAAAGGTTGTATTTTGTTAGCATCATGTCCTAAAATGACGATTCTGACATTCAGAGATTGTTGTACCTATATAATGATATACCCAAGGTGTTATACATTTTTATAAAGGTAAATGAATACACTACAACATGTTTATAATTGTTTGGGGGTAAAAAATTTTGTAAAAAAGTTATAGCCTATACTAAATAGGCCTACTACTGTATTTTGTTAGCATCATGTTCAAAAATGACGATTCTGACATTCAGAGGTGCTATATATGCTATATAATGATTTACCCAAGGTGTTATACATTTTTATAAAGGTAAATGAATACACTACAACATGTTTATATTGGTTTGGGTGTAAAAAATTTGGTAAAAAAATTATATAGGCTAGGCCCTACTAAATACTGTACACTCCATTTTCTGGAAATGCGCAAAAAATTCAAAACGTTCTCAAATTGATACATAATCATAGGTGAAAATAACTTTTTACCATCATACTTATGACTTTTTTGGATTCCTTACTTCATTAGCTTTACAAATATGTAGGCTACATATCATCAGCCTACATAATGTTTCACAACACAAGCAAACACTGTAGGCTATAGTTTACACTTATTTGCGGTTTTGCGGTTATTGTATTATTATGTCCCTATTACGTACCTACAAAAAAAAAATATTTCTAACATGTTATACATTTTTATGTAGGTAATTGAATACACTACAAGATTATTATGTTGGTTTGAAGTAAACAAATTTGGTACAAAAGTTGTATACTAAGTACTGTAAATTTTTTTCTCGAGAAATCGCTAAAATATAAAAACATTATTTTATATACGTATGTTTATAGGTAAAAAATTATTTTTACCATAAACTTTATGACTTTTTTTGATTCCTTACTTCATTAGCTTTACAAACATGTATATATCATTATTAGTATACACATATATTATAGAACTTTTTACAACATAAACTAACACTGTACGGTTTTCAATTTTTTCGGTTCTCCGTTTGTCATTATATTTCGCCCCAAAAACTTATAAAAAAAATATTTTCCTAACATGTTGTATATTTCTATGTAGGGAATTAGATTGTCTACAAAATGTATATAATGAATTTCCCATAAAAAAAATCCGTAGAAAAAAAATGCAGAGGCCGCTTTTGAAATTTCAAAAAAAAAATTCAATTTTTTTTATTTTTTTCACTTTACCGATAAAATACACTGTCTAAATCATTATGATATTACTATTTCTAGATTCTCCTGTTCTTTCCGAACAAAATGAATATGAGGTTGGCTAGGTTTACTTGTACGGTTGAATTTTTACGAATTTTCAAAAAATGGTCTGCAAAATCGCCAAAATGGGTTGGCCATTCCCCACTTCTAACATTGGCCACTGCTAGGGTTAAAGGTATTTTCTTGTTTATTAAGATCGTAGGAATAGTTAAAAAACGTTTTAAAGAAAAGTCTAGAAAGTAAAAAAATACCTGTCTTTTTGATAGGTTAACTTAACAAGTTACATCAAGGAAGTAAGTTAGGCCCTAGGGCCAAGGCATAGACTAAGTTAGTGTTTCCAATCTAAGTAGCCTACATCTAAAACTTACCATCAAGGAAGTTGAAGTTAACAAAAAATTCGTCGTAGCACTTCGGTGGTAACAAAACTAACATCATATTTTTAAAGTAGGCATACAAATGTTCTTTATCCATTTTAAAATTGGGTTTTTAAACCGACCTGAGTTTAATTTATTGATTTATTTAAAGGAATATCTACAGTTTCTACGACTTACAGTTCATTCAATTTAATTGTCCCTCATAAATGTTTTAAATTGATCACGAGAATGATTCGCCTACCCTAATTTACACAAAATTAGTCAATCGATTCTCTATTCTCAGTGTGTGAGGTTATGTTTCGCTGTGTGTTGTTTATCCGATCACAAACGGAACACGACACGAAACTCGGAACGCCGAACGAGTCAAATCTATTAGATTAGATCTTAGATGTTGGCAGTTTTTTTTGTGGACGTGGATTGGATTGGCTTGTTGGCTGAAGATTAGATCAATGATTCATTCCCAAACACCACCAAACTACGATTGGCCTACCCTTGAGCATGGTTCTCGAGTCGAGAGTGCAAAAACGAAAAATCTCACACTGTATAAAAACATGCAGAGTTTGATATTCTATAATTTCATGTTCCATAACAAAGTTGAACTATTGAAAACTTTGACTGATTGCCTAATCAACTTTTTCTATACCGGATGTATGGATAAACGATTTATTTTGAGGTGAGTACAGGAATAATCTAATTAACAGATTGAGCTGCTTCATTCATAAACGACGCCGATTCCTGCCAAATCACAGATCCCTGCTTTTTCCATAAAATTGGTATATAATTTCGACTTCGACATCACTCCCGACAACATCGCTGGAGCTATGCTTCAGGGGGAGGGCACCTGACACTTTGTCAAGCAGTTCGCCGAGACTATACTTTCGGTATAAAAAGACGATCTCGATCAAATTTGACGTTCAGTAGAATATAAGAATGAAAGTCCTAATGGCATAGTTAAAAAAACCTAGCCCAAAGTAATGTGCTAAACAGTTCCAGGCTAGTGTCCAAGGAGATGAGGGGATTTTTAGCCGGTAGTCTGGGGACAAAGAGCCAGTGGGAGTACTGTACCATAGACTAACCTGTTTTATCTATGATAGTAGTATGTTTTCTGTGTCTCAGTACAGTCATAGATAAAACATACTCCCTTAGTAGATTTCTCATCCTTATGGAACAGCTGAAGACAATTTTATTGTTAGTTCTGTACGGTTTATGTAAGAGGTCGTGTTTTGTTTACAATTTGTTTCCCGTTATTACAGCCATTTAAAACCTCGTTTAACCAAATAATACGATCTAATCATAAACAATAACTTGTCCCCTAGTTATATAACCAAACAGTAAAGCACAAATCAAGAAATTAACCCTAAAATAATGGAAACAGAGTTTCATCGACACTAGCGCCTTTGTGTCACGTATATGAACTAGACACGAAAAACGTGCTTCAACATTTACAATGGGATGAAAAGTCTACTTGTGTTGGTTAGTCTATGCTACTATTACCCAGAATGCTAACCGCAAAGGAGGCCGTGGTTAAACGGAGAGAGCTTTGCCTGTTAATTCGTAGGCAGAGCCACCAGCATTCTCTCCGAGTACTTAACACTGTTAAACACGCGGTTAGCATTCTGGGTATTAGTAGTATGTTTTCTGTTACTGTTACTGAGAGGACATTGAACCTCTCGGACTCAGAGTGAGTGAACACATTTTAACCTCCCTCCAAAAAAAATATTTTAAACGGTTATTTTAACCTGCTTGTGCCATTAGCATTAAATGGCGATAACACCATTCACAACTCTAGTGCTCTATAACTTTTAAATATAGGCAAGATAAAAACATATTAGTGAGATAAACTGAGTCATATTTGCAAAAGCATTTGAAAAACAAGAAGAGTATTACATAATAACTCTTCAATATAGATTCTAAGGAGATAAAACTGTTCAAACGCAGTTAATTTCGTTTCAAATACAAACACAATTTATGAAAGAAAATAAAATCGGTCATCAGGTAACACTCTTAATATTCTTTTAAAAATCTCTGAAGCTGAATGAGAGACGCCAATTCATCAGCTCCTTTCACTGGAACGCTGTATCGGTTTTTAATAACTCTTAGTTTTGTGCGCCTTTTATTTCAGTTTTATTTTCATCCTAAACAAAACAACTAACTGTAGCTTCTTTGTTTCGTTTTCTTTTGTTTGTATCCCCCTAAATATTATCATAAATTGTAATGACGTTTTAATGTTCCATGAATGAATGTTTTATTAATGCCTGCCTATACTTAATAACAAAAAAATATAAGAATAAGTGCAATAATAGTTTATTTTTTATAATGAAAAAGCCGTTTGGTAATACTATGAAGAAATTATACTTAATAACAATTAGATAAAGAGTTCCTTTATATACAGTATTTAGTAAATGTATCAAAACATAGCTAATAACTAAACCTTTCCTCTCGTATTATAAATTTAAATTTCCAACTTTTTATTCTCAACATGGAAATAATACTAGTTTTTGTCAGGACATATACATTCATGAAAGAAATCGCTAATATTTTATCCAGATTGTTAAAAAAACTCATCATTAATTTAAAGCTAACTTTACTTCACATACAACTAATCCTAAACTTACAAACAACTTAAAACGTCTTGAAAAGTAAAATGCTCCAAAAGAAGGAGAAATTTTGGAGGGAATTTCATATTTAATTTCTTTATTCTATCGCACACACAGTAATATTATTTTCAATTTTGCAAATATTCAGGCAGAAAGAGATGTCGCATATGCCGCATATATCATGAGCACAATGCCGCTTCACACTCCTCACAGCTTTACATGAAATGAATATAAATTATGCCCAGAACTGCTTCCTGATTTATTGTTTGGTTTTGAAAAAAAAACCATTGACATTTCTTATGTTCCACCATGTTACTTCATAATTTACTTTTTTAAGAGTTTTAATATATTAATACCACTTCCCATGTGATATAAAAGTTTGGAGCCAAGAAAATAGATGAAGTTCAGGACCATCTCACCAGAGATTGACATAAGATCACAAATTTCCCTTGGATCTCAAATTACATATAAGTCATTGGAAAACGTCATGTTACATTATAATACATTATGAAATGTGTAATACTTGTAATTTGAATGTGTAATACTTGTATTTGAAACCCTAGATTGGTCCTAGAGAAGTCAGCAGTTGTTTTATGATTCGTAACTGGACTCAGCTGTTCCTGTTAATTGGGTTCTAAATAAATTATCCCGGCTAATAAAAAAGCTAATCTTACTTCGTAACAAAGATGCACGGATTATTTTACTCCACTCAACACTCATCCGTCCTTTTTTCACAGATGAAGATTTTTTGGAAAAGGGCAGAAGAAAGAAAAACACTTCTTTCTGTAGACAAAGGTAAAATTCAGATCTACAACTCCTTGGTGGTCTAAATACAAGAAATAAAACATGACAACTACACCAGTTTTAAAAGAGTAACCAATTTTCATTATATTGAAATTATACTATTTAATAGTATGTTTGAACACCTTATGTAGTTCTTAAAGGATATCCTGTATTTTAGAGCGTATGAGCAGTGAATTCTCCAAAGAAAGAATAAGTTTGACTGCAACTCCAGTTTTTACAGAGTTGATCACGGAAATATTTCAGGCTTATTCAAAATTCTCCCAAACCATTTTCGTCGGGGGATATTTTGGTAATGTATAATTCAACATCAACGATTAAATCTAGTTCTAGGTAAACATACATAACAATCAAACGAGGTGACGGATATAAATATATTCATGCATTATTAATGAGCACATATTGGATTTTCTACAGAAACAACCCCAGCATACAGATGTTGTGTTCAAAGTGCAATAATTGTTTGTATGATTCCAGTTTGCATGCAAACAAGATTTTACTTGCTAAACAATTAGTGGACCAACAACCAACACCCCCTCCCACTTTCTACGAAATTTAAAAACTCATTAAGGATGTGGTTATCAATCAATATTGTGTGATACATATTTTAGCGTTTCCATAATGTCACACTTATATAAATTATAATAATTAATATTTGCTGATATAACGAATACGGTTTTTGCTATGGTTTTATCTAACTTGACATACTATTATAATTCAAGGAAGTTTAAAAATATATAAACGTACCAATGACCATCAAATATCAAGTATTACTTATTCAATATTTTTATTTAATTTTTGTAACTTAAATGTGAGAAATATACGAACAATTAGAAAAAAATAGCAATTTTCAATGACAGTATACCACCATATCCACCAGCACTGATTAAATTATAATCAGAACCGATGGACACTTTTAACTCAAGATAAAAGAAACCTTTTTGCACACGATGAAAAATCCTGTCCCGACCCCATCCCAAAACCAAGATCCCATTTCGTCCCATAGCCGAACTAAAAGTACACTCATCTACTCATCTACTCCAACAAATAGGCTTATAAAACTTAACACAATCATGAGTATGTTGTTACTAAATCCGAGTTTATGTTTTTATTTAAAGTTTAAGTAAGATGTAATATTATGTAGACTAAGGTAATAGCAATCGATTCAACAAACGAATTTAGTTGAAAAATGTATGCAATATTTGGAAATGAAAGATATCATATTAGGATGGCCTAATGCATTTTACTGGAGATATAAGAAAAGTTGATTT